CAATATGTCTGTCCTGTCTAAAGGCAGCAGCAACTATTCAGTTCTATCCTGTAACTGTTGAGAGAACCAGGGCCCCAAATAGTCAAATATTGATGTTTTTCAAGAAAAGCCAGAAATCTTTTTTTTTAATCTTTAATTTCTTTATTGGTTAAGGTATTACAAATGTGTCCTCATCCCCCCATTAACCCCCAACCCCTCCCCCCCCTCACGCTTTCATCCCCCTGTTGTCTTTGTCCATTGGTTTGGCTTATATGTATGCATACAAGTCCTTTGGTTGATCTTACCCCCACCTTCCCCTACTTTCCCTCTGGGAATTGACAGTCTGATCGCTGCTTCTCTGTCTCTGGATCTGTCCCTGTTCATCAGTCTATGTTGTTCTCTATATTCCACAAATGAGTGAGATCATGTGGTATTTATCCTTCTCTGACTAAAAGCCAGAAATCTTAAAATGTGAAACCTCACATTTAAAAAATTTGGGGCAACTAATTTTTCAAAAAGTGCTGGCCAAACAAAACCCACATTGGAAATGGCCTTTATGCTGCCCAATTTCAGCTCTTGGTTAGAGGGGAAAATGGAGGTTCAAAACAATTTACTTTGAACTGTGATGGCTTTTACATCCAGGCTTGCTCCCTTCTTACTCTTGTTTGGGTTGCTTTTCTAAAACTCAAATCTGATCACTCAAAAAGCACTTTTTGAGCTTTTATCGCATGCCATGGCCCTTGTTGAGCTCTGGGGATGAAGACAGAATGCTCTGGCAAGTGATAAAACAAAGATGAACAAGGGAGAAAACAAAGGAGGAAGTCATTCATACTGATTGGGCTGTGTTTGAGATATCAGTATATTCAAGAAAAGGTCCAAAGTCACTGGTTTTGGCATCAAGACCCTTCATGATCTGATTATGTCCCATTTCTAAGTTCTCAGATCCCATTCTTACCAGCCCCTATTCAACCTCCTTGTGTTCTCAGCCATCCAGAATTGCTCTCATGCTTCCAAACCTTTGGAGCAGGTTCTGCTGGAATGATTCCATACGCTCACTGCCACCTCCCCGCTGTCTCCCATCTCCCAGGTAAATTCCTAATCCATCCAGATTGTATACCATGCAATTTCCTGATAAAGGATTTCCAAATTCCTCAAGCCTTTCTTGAGGTCCCAATAGCCCTGTAAGCTGCTATTATAGACATTGCTAACTGCTGATACGCCAACCACGCCCCCACACAAACACACATACACACACACAAGGGACCATGCACACAGCCTTGCCAGTTCGGGTGTGAAAGATGGCAGTGACAGGTCTTCCTCTACTGCAAATATTGGAAAACTACAATCCCCAGAAACCCCACGCCAGAACTGAGCCTGTGCTGTTGCTGCAGTACCACGGGGCTGCTTGGATATTGTGCATATGTCACAAACGATGTAACTCAGTATTAGGGGTTCCATGTCGCCTCTTTCTATTCCTAACCACCCCCAATCCTCAGGGGGTTGGGGCGCCGCACCGTCACACACAGAGCAGGGCCGATCAGGTGGTTGGGGCGCCGCACCCTGTCACACACAGAGCCGCAGGGCGATCAGGGGGTTGGGGAGCTGCCCCGTCACGCTGATCCCGGTGCTGGGAGGCATATTACCCTTTTACTATATAGGATAGAGGCCTGGTGCACGGGTGGGGGCCGGCTGGTTTGCCCTGAAGGGTGTCCTGGATCAGGATGGGGGTCCCCACTGGGGTGCCTGGCCAGTCTGGGTGAGGGGCTGAGGGCTGTTTTCAGGCTGGCGGGTGACTGAAGCTCCCAACCGCTCCTTTTTTTCTTTTCTTTTTTTATTCTGGGCCAGCTTTAGCTCTGAGGCTTGGCTCCAGCTCTGAGGCCTCGGCTGCTGAAAGCAGGTATCTGGTTTGTTTGGGTTCTATAATCGAAACACTGTTTCAACTCCAGCTCTGAGATCCCGGCTGGCTGAAAGCAGGTTTCTGGGGTTTTGTTTAGCTTCTATATTTGTAACAATGTTTCAAACTGCAAGCTCAGAGGCCGGCAGCGGCAGGCGGGGAACGTTGGCTTCCTCCGTCACTGAAGCAAGCAAGCCTCATGTTCGCTTCAAGCTGCCTGGCCTGCGGCCGCCATCTTGGCTGGCAGTTAATTTGCATATCGCCCTGATTAGCCAATGGGAAGGGTAGCGGAGGTACGGCTAATTACCATGTTTCTCTTTTATTAGATAGGATAGAGCCTTATTAGCAAGCCAGCCTTCCTGAGTACAGATCAGGGTAAACTACCTGGAGGGGTCCTGCCAGTGCAGCTGAGTAGCCTTCCTCAGGAAACACCCTGCTGTCTCTCTGGATGCACAGACACTTAATCAAAGCAAGTTTTATCACACTTCTGCCCATAGACCGTGAACTTCTCTAGGGTAAGGTTGCATCTCTTACCCTGGCTGCAGAGACACAACTGCAGAAGGCTTAAAGTTACTTGATCTGAGAGTTAAGGGAGTTTCAGGTAGTGCACTGATGACTGGAACAGCGGTATAATTCATTTAGTCACTCATCATCTAGGAACCAAGAATAGAGAGATAATAGCTCAAGGTGCTACTATGAGTTCAGTATAGAGGAAGAGTTTACCAAGTACACACATAAATGCATTATACAGTTTTAGAAAGGCATAAAAGGAAGTACACCTTCTCAGGAAGGTCTTCCTTACAATCCAATTTATCATTCTTTTTTTATAATTCTTCATTGTTGTATTACATATGTCCCCCTTCATCCCCATTGAACCCCTCCAGCCTGCCCCTGCCCCTGCTCTTTTCTTCACTTTCTAATCATAGATTTACTTGTTTACAGTTTGCCTATCTTGCTTTATAAGAATGTAAGTACCGCCCTAACTGGTTTGGCTCAGTGGATAGAGCGTTGGCCTGCGGACTGAAGGGTCCCAGGTTCGATTCCGGTCAGGGGCATGTACCTTGGTTGCGGGCACATCCCCAGTGGGGGAGTGTGCAGGAGGCAGCTAATGGATGTTTCTCTCTCATCGATGTTTCTAACTCTCAATCCCTCTCCCTTCCTCTCTGTAAAAAATCAAAATATATTTTAAAAAAAAAAGAAGAAGAAGAATGTAAGTACCACAAGAGCAGGGACCTTATAGTCCTAGAGCCCAGAACAGTACTTGGCAAATAGTAGGTGCACAGTAAACATTTATCAAATTAACTAGAGGCCCGGTGCATGAAAATTTATGCACTGGAGGGGGGAATCCCTCAGCCCAGCCTACCCCCTCTCACAGTCCGGGAGCCCTCAGGGGCGGGATGCGACGCTCCCATCACACTTCTGCGGCTGCCACTGCCAACAGCGCAAGCCTCAGCCGGCCCTGGTTACCTGAGCCTCAGGTGGCCCTGGGCAGCCAACATCCGAGGCTTGCATGTGCCTTGAGCATTGGCTGGGCAGCTGACATCTGAGGCTTGTCTGCACCTCAGGTCAGCCCTGGGCGGCTGGGGAGCTGAGAGCGGGTCCGGTCGCACCGCGTGCCTGCCACCCCCCTGGCAGGGCTGAAAGGACTGGGGGACTCTAATGGGGCTGAGGGGGCTGGCGCTGCCACCTTGTGGCGATAGGTGCCGCCAGCTTTGTGACAGAGTGATGGTCAATTTGCATATTCCCTCTTTATTAATAGGATAAGTAATTCTGCCATGAGGAACAGAACAAAAAGACAGTTGCCACTTATGTTGGCATTTGTTAAGTGAGAAGGGATTTAACTCCAGGCAAAGGAACAATAGGAACACCATAAAAAATGATGGGCTGAGTTGGTCCTGAGGACAAGTTGGAGAGGGAAATTTTTATTTTATTTATTTTTAAATATATTTTATTGACTTTTTACAGAGAGGAAGGGAGAGGGATAGAGAATTAGAAACATCGATCAGCTGTCTCCTGCACACCCCCCACTTGGGATGTGCCCACAACCAAGGTACATGCCCTTGACCAGAATTGAACCTGGGACCCTTCAGTCTGCAGGCCAATGCTCTATGCACTGAGCCAAACCAGTTAGGGCAGGAGAGGGAACATTTTAAATCATGCAAGAGCTAACTAGTGCCTTTAAGAATAGGTGGATTAAAGAGAATTTATAATAGCAGTACCTATAGTATTGAGCTGGATTGAGGGGCAAAGACAAGCCAAAAGAAAAAGGATCTGCCCTAGTTGGTTTGGCTCAGTAGATGGAGTTACCGGTCTGCGGACTGCAGGGTCCCAGTCAAGGGCACGTGCCTGGGTTGCAGACTCGATCCCCAGTAGGGGGCGTGCAGGAGGCAGCCAATCAATGATTCTCTCTTATTGATGTTTCTATCTCCCTCTCCCTTTCTCTCTGAAATCAATAAAAATATGTTTTTAAAAAAATATTGAGGCAAACCCTCTAAACAGATTGAAAAAAAAAAAGAATCTTTCAAAGTATGCTCAGGGAAGAGGGAACATGAGACTAGAAAAATTCTTCAAGGGCCATGCTCTTCTTAGACAGGCAAAGCCTGAACTACATTTAAATATTCTTCCCAAAGAATGTCCAGGTCTTACCTCTGACTGGACAAAGAGGCTCTTAATTGGTCAACCCCTCTCCAGTTTGGTATTTGCCCTTCTGTCCTGTACTTACCCTGAATTAGTTTCCCCAAAACTCTTCAGATTCCCACAGAATAAGAGCAAACTCCTAGTAGTCAATGTCCTTCATTATCTTGTCTCTACCACCTAGCTTCACACTCTCTTCCTAGGATCTACATGAGTTTTCTACTCTGGCTAAACAAGAGTGTTGTGCCTGCCCTAACCAGTTTGGCTCAGTGGATAGAGTGTCGGACTGCAGACTGAAGGGTCCCAGGTTTGATTCCAGTCAAAGGCATGTACCTTGGTTGCGGGCACATCCCCAGTAGGAAGTGTGCAGGAGGCAGCTGATCAATGTTTCTCTCTCATCGATGTTTCTAATTCTCTATCCCTCTCCCTTCTTCTCTGTAAAAAAAAAAAAGAAAAGAAAAAAAAGAAAAGAAAAAATGAAGAAAAAAATAAAATATATATTTTTAAAAAGTGTTGTGCCTGCACACCATCATTTCCTACCACCTAGCATTTGCTCATTTAAAATCCCAATTACCACTTTGTCTGAACCCTAATCATTCTTTGAAACCTTATTCCAACTCTACCTCCCCAAATAAAGCCTACTTAAATCATCTCTCTTCCTTGGCCCACTATCTGTACCATTCATGCAACACTTATCAACTTTTATCTTGCCTGCTTTTATACCTCAGTAGACCGAGCTCACTTTTTAGGAGTCAAAATCCAACTGACTAAATATTTATATTACTTCCAAGTCAGGTACTGGGGATATAAGACATAGGATTACTTACAGAACTTATCTGGCTTTTAAAATTCAAATACCTGTCCTCCACAATTAAAGAATCCAGAAGACATCAGCGATGCTTGCCAATATTAACGTCTTTCCCAACTTTTCTCCCATTAACACAAAGGCATATTGAGTATCAAGCTGGGCTAATAGCCTTTACTGACAAAGCTCTGATAAGCAAAAAAGTACATAGGAAATTTCATACGTAGAAATTGAGCATTAGGAAATTTCAATCAACCTACTGCTAAAAAGCAGTTGAAATGGAAAAATAATTTTCTTGCCCTAGCCAGTTTGGCTCAGTGGATAGGAGCATCAGCCCATGGACTGAAGGGTCCCAGGTTTGATTTCTGGTCAGAGGCACGTACCGAGGTTGCAGGCTTAATACCCTGGCTCTGGTCAGGGCATATGTGAGAGGCAATTGATGTGTCTCTCTCACATCCATGTTTCTGTTTCTCCTCCTCCCTCCCACGCTCTCTAAAAAATCAATGGAAAAATATCCTCAGATGAGGATTAAAATAATAATTTTCTTAAAAGCATAAAAAGGCTAAATAGGTAATGGGGAATTACTGAGCCAAAATCCAAATAAGAACCCAGACAACCTAGAACTCAAAGCTGCTCTTTCCTTTAAGGCATTTACCAATCTGGAAGAAATCTGAGCTGCACTTTCAGAAGCCTCATGGACTGTAGGGGACAAAAACAAAAACCTAAGGCCAACTAAAGGCAGGAACTCCCACCACAGACACCTTAAGCCAGCATTCCAAAGTATTACACTTTCAAGATACATGTGAAATAAAAGTAATCCTTCCTCAAGAAAAGGAGGAATCCCCAGAAAAGCAGCTAAGTGAAATGGAGGCATGCAATTTGTCAGAAAAAGTATCAGAATAAGGGTCATACAGTTCATAAACCGGATGGATGAAAAAATCAACAACTTATGTAAGAATCAAGAAGAAATAGTGATATAGCTGTAATAAAAATACCATGGAGCCCTAGCCGGTTTGGTTCAGTGGATAGAGTGTTGGCCTGCGAACTGAAAGGTCCCAGGGCAAATGCCTGGGTTGTTGGCTCGATCCCCAGTGGGGGACTTGCAGGAGGCAGCCAATCCATGATTCTTTCTCATCATGGATGTTCCTCTTCCTTCCTCTCTGAAATCAATAAAAATATATTTTAAAAAAATACCATGGAAAGTTTCAACAGTAGACTAGGAGAAGCTGAGGACCGAATTAGTGAATTAGAAGACAGGGAAGCAAAACACAGCCAAACTGAATTGCAATTGAAGAAAAAAAATTAAAAGACAGGAGGAGAGCTAAGGGAGCTTTGGGACATGAAATGAAGCAACATACGAATAATAGGTGTGCCAGAACAACAGGAAGAGGAACAAGAGTTAGAAAACCTATTTGAAGAAATACTGTCAGAAAACTTCCCTGATGTAGGCAAAGAAAAAATTCACACAAGCACAGAGAGTCTCAAACAAGATGAACCTGTAAAGACCCACACTAAGACACGTTGTAATTACAATGGCAAACGTTCAGGACAAAGAGAGAATCTTAAAGGCTGCAACAGAGAGAGACAAAGTTATATACAGGGATCTCCCATTAGATTATCAAATGATTTCCCAACAGAAACACATCAGGCCAGAAAGGAATGGAAGGAAATTTACAAAGTGATGCAAAGCAAGGGACTGAATCCAAGAATACTCTATCCAGCAAGGCTATCATTCAAATTTAAAGGGGAAATAAGGAGCTTCACAGACAATAAAAGGCTAAGGGATTTTATCACTACCAAGCCAGCAATGTAAGAAATGCTAAAGGGACTGGTGTAAAAAGAAGAAATAATAAGAGAAGAAGGAATACAGGCATAAATAATAAACATGGCTACAAACAAGTACCTATCAGTAATAACTTTAAACATAAATGGACTAAATGCTCTAATCAAAAGACATCAAGTGGTTGAAGGGATAAATAAGCATGACCCATATATATGCTGTCTATAAGAGATCCACCTCAGAACAAGGACTCACACAGACTAAAAGTGAAGGGATGAAAAAACATCCTTTAGGCAAATGGAAATGAAAAAAAAAGCTGGGGTAGCAAAACTTACTAGGTGTACCAGTTAATAATGCGGATTTTTTTCAATAGATGGAGTTACACATATGTTGATATATATGTGACTTGGTATGTATGCTATTTTGTTGTATTGACAGCAGGCTTCAAAACTTCATATGTCAAATTTGCTGAAGGTGTTAACATCATAGATATTTTTATGCTTAAAAATGTCAAATTTCATGCCAAAAAAAAGAGCATTTGTGAGAAGTTTTAATTCATTATTTTGAAGAAAAGTGCTGCTGAAAGTTATTGTATACTTCGGGAAGCTTATGGTGAATATGCTCCATCTCAAGATACTTGTGAACGCTGGTTTAAGCGCTTTAAAAGTGATGCTTTCGATGTGAAAGACAAAGGATGTCCAGGTCAACCGAGAAAGTGTGAAGACCAACAATTACAAGCATTATTAGATGATTCGTCTCAAACTCAAAAACAACTTGCAGGAAGATTAAACGTTGCTCAGCAAACAATTTCCGATCGTTTACAAGCAATGGGAGAGATTTTAAAGGGAGGAAAATGGGTGCCACATCAACTGAATGAAAAACAAATGGAAAACCGAAAAGTCATCAATAAAATGTTTCAATGGCATGAAAGAAAGTCTTTTTTGCATCGAATTGTAACTGGCGATGAAAAGCGGATTTATTTTGAGAATCCCAAATGCACAAAATCATGGGTTGATCCAGGTCAACCATCAACATCGACTGCAAGGCCAAATCAATTCAGAAAGAAGACAATGCTCTGCGTTTGGTGGGATCAGGAAAGTGTGGTGTATTATGAGCTTCTAAAACCAGGTGAAACTGTTAATACTGATCACTACCAACAACAAAAAATCAATTTGAACCACACTTTGATCGTGAAACGATCAAATGTGCCATTTGAATGTGCCATTCAGAATGTGCCATTAGACATAGCAAAGTAATTTTGCTTCATGATAACACACCATCACACACTTCAAAACCAGTTAAAGACACGTTAAACGATCTTGCCTGGGAAGTATTAACCCACCCACCGTATTCACCAGACCTTGCTCCTTCAGTTTGCCACTTGTTCCAATTGATGACACATGCACTTTCTGAGCAGCACTTCAAAATGTATGAAGTGGAAAATTTGGTCTCTGAATGGTTTGCCTCAAAACAAGAAAAGTTCTATAGGGACCGTATCCACAAATTACCTGAAATATGTAACTAGCAATGGACATTACTTTGAATAAAACTCTTTTGATGTTTTTCTTGAAATTATTGTTTTGATTACAAAATCCGCATTATTAACCGGTACACCTAGTATATCTGACAAAATAAACCTCAAAGTGAAGGCCATAAGAGATAAGGAAGGCCACTTCATAATACTAAAGGGATCGATACAACAAGAGGCTATAACCCTGGTAAACATATATGCACCCAATGCAGTAGCACCAAATACATAAAAAAAACTCCTGGAAGATATCAACGGAGAGATCGACAACAATACAATCATAGTAGGGGACTTTAATACACCACTGACATCACTGGATAAATCCTCTAGAAAAAAAATCATCAAAGCAGCAGCAATCCTAAATGACTGACTAGATCAGATGGACTTAATTGACATCTTCAGAACATTTCACCCTAAAGCCATGGAATATACGTTCTTCTCAAGTGCACATGGGACATTTTCAAAAATAGACCACAGCCGTAACCGGTTTGGCTCAGTGGATAGAGCGTCGGCCTGTGGACTGAAAGGTCCCAGGTTCAATTCCGGTCAAGGGCATGTACCTTGGTTGTGGGCACATCCCCAGTAGGGGGTGTGCAGGAGGCAGCTAATC